AACACCCCTAAAATCCCCTCCAAAAACCCCAAATTTCCTCAACTCCTCCCCCAAACCTCCCCTAACCCCCTCAGGGTTAATGTTTTGTTAATTTCAGGTAATTTGGGGTGGATTTAGGAGGGTTTTGGTACCTCAAAAACACCAAATTTGGTGCAGTGCTCAAACCCAGCCAAAGTGCCTCCAAATCTCCTCAAAATCCCCCAAATTTCCCCCAACCCCCTTGGGATAGATTTTGGGTGGACTTGGGGTTAATTTGCAAGAAATTTTGGGTGATTTTGGTACCTTGTGGATGCTCAAGTAGGTGAAGAATTTAAACCCAGTGAAAATCCCCCCAAATCCCCTCAAAACTCCCCTTAAATTTCCCCCAGAGCCCCTCAGGATGGGTTCTAGGGTAATTTTGGGTGGATTTGGGAAAATTTTGGGTCCTTTTGTGGAGTGGCAAGGGCCCCGGGTGCAGGGCTTGGAGCGGGGCAGAACAGCGGGGCAGGAAGGGGGGGAGGGAGGGAGGAAGGGAGGTGCGAAACCCCCCCGAGGATCCCCTGATGAGGATACCCCTAAAAGGTTCTGTAAGTTCTGTGCCAGGACTGAGAAACAAAGGGGACTTTTGATTTTTTTGCTTTTTAAGTTAATGTTTATTTTTCTCTTATCAACAGTTCAGCACACCGGCTGCACACCAGACTTAGCGTACAAAGAGAAGGCACCAAAAGTAACAAGACACACAGGTTCAAGGTCTTTTAAAATTACTTTGTCCAATTAACTCTTAGAACACATTTTATTTCTACCTTTCTACCAGTAACTAATTCTTTGTTTGCCACTCAGCATCTGCATTGCAGCTCTTTCCAACCAATCACCCTGTGCTCCCAACACAGCAGAAAATGGAGAAGATGAAGAATGAGAAGGAGATCAGACAATGCCCAAAATCTTCCATCTTGTCTTCTATCCACCCTCATACTAAAAACCCAAAGCTCTCAGTTTTTCACCCTGTGATAAACTACACTACTATCTATTTCACACACTCGTAGATTCCAGTTCATCCCAAAATCTTGGAAGCTTTCTCCATGGACAAAGGACAAAAGCAGTGTTCTCCTGTGGATCAGGACTTCTCAGGACAGGCAGGGAGACACTCCTTGTGCCCTGGGTTCCAACAGCAGGGGAGAAGGGGAGGTTGGGGACAGGAAATGAAGGACTTAGGCAGGAAAAAGGGGAACCTTAAACAGCGTGGTGAGCGCCTTTTCTAGAGGGAGGGCCCAGGACGGCATGGCCGTCACCTTCCTGGGTAGGTATGGATGCACAATCCAAGTAAGATTTCCCATGGATCGGCCTGGGAAACATCAGAGAGCTGGAGATGAAGAATTCTGAACAACCTCACCGTTGGTGTTTGTGACAATTGTTTTCCTCATGGATTGTTTATCCCAAGGGATGTTTTCTTAATTAGCCAATCATGTGAAATGTAAAATAACCAATCAGGTCCACCTGTATCGGGACCAAGTATAAAATATGGCTTTCCTAATGAAGAAGATTGTTGGCCTTCTGAAGATGCATGGAGTGTGTCACTCATTTATCCGTGACATTTCTGACTCAACAGTGACAGGCAGGGAAGGGGGGACATGGAAAGACGGGGAGGGAAGGAAGACACAGGACAGAGAGAGGACAGCAGCGATTCCCTGTCACATCTAGATGGATTCTGTCCCTTGTTCTACCCTCAGGAAAAGGGGGACAGGGCGGCACAGAGTGTTGGGAAGGATGAAAGTTCGACAAGAAACTTTAACAGATATGGGTGCTTGGCAGAAAGACTTTTGAATGTAGAATCTGAAGAAGGAATAGAGATGGAAGCAAGTTTTGCTATAGAAGAAAAGAATTGCTGAGCCAGTCTTACTGGATAATTAAGAAGGCAAAGGGTATGTTACTTACAAGGGGTTTTTATGGCTTAGAGCAAAGGATAAATCCACCCCAAACAGAAGATGTTTTTACCAAGCAAAAAGATTTCACAGGCAAACAAGACTGTCAATGTTGCAAATAGAAAAACGGTCTCAGAATTTTCCACTGCAAGAAAACTGAATAACAACTTCTAACTTAAACTGTAACATACTAACTTTAAGTGATTGGAGAATAGTAACATCAATATGGTAATTACAGCAGTTATGAAAGGCTATAGGTAAAAGTAAAAGTATAGATTGGTTCTTCTATCTTGAGATGCTCAGTAAAGAGAGTATATATTGCACTGTAACGAAAGCTAAAAGGTCTCCAGGCTTGTGTGCAGCTGGAGCTGACAGCTGTAGGCACAGGCTCTGCCACCCACGACCCTGGACTGCCGTAACATCTTGGATACAATAAAGTGCATTTTGAAGAGCTGCCTGGAGTCCCACATCTTTCATTCAGGCTCTTACGGGAGAGGGACACGGTGCGACAGAGAGACGGCAGCGACTCCGTGCTGGCTGGCAGTTGGCACTCCTTGCTGCACTCTGGGGAGCAAAAGGCTAAGGAAAGACACGAGCAATGTTATGGATACATATTATAATATTGCCTTTTTGGAAATATTAAAATGGATTTTATATATGTGGTGTTAAAGTAACTTTGGTATAAATATACAGTTTTTATTCCTGTTGTTAAGTAAGCTTAGTGGAATAGGTGCTTGTGTTAAACTGCCTGCTTGGATGGGATAACGTCCAATACACACAGGATGAGGACACCTGTACAGATCTGCCAACTATCAGCACTCCCCGTCTGAAGGCAGAGTGGACCAAGGCCCAAAAACTGGAGGTGATAAAGGAGCCAAAACCACAAACAAGAAACACACATGCTCTGAAAAGGCAGACACAAGGAGTGGCGATGTGAAATCGCTCCTGGAATATGTAAAGTAGATTATGGATATGCATGAGGGTCTATGAATATGCACCAGGCTGATGTAAGGGAAAGGTATTTCAGGGGGATCCCCGAAGGTAACAGGGTGCTCCTGGCTGAGTGCCAAGATGCATCCGGCCGTAATAACCTTGGCTCCATGGTCCTGGTCTCCCATTGTCCTTTATTAAACTTTGTACATTTTCACAGGAGAGTGAACGTGTTTTACACATTTAGGAACAGTTTAAGTTTTTTTGTTTTTCATGGGAGGGAGTTTTGAAGAGCTACAAGTGGCTAATCTGCCTGCAACAAGAACCATTCCACGGGCTCTTGTCACCTTTCCTGATACATCTTCTGCAGCTCATGGAGGGTAAAGCCCCGGAGGCTCCTTAGGGGTGGTGATGGGCGATTGCAGGCAGCGCCTTTATGCCCTGCATCAGCGGTGCCCCCTCCTGGGAACCCCCACGTTTTCCAGTTTCTGTGAAGCTGCCTGTGAAAAACACGTTCACTCTCCTGTCAAAATGTACAAAGTTTAATAAAGGACAATGGGAGACCAGGACCATGGAGCAAAGGTTATTACAGCTGGGCGCATCTTGGCACTCAGCCAGGAGCACCCTGTTACCTTTGGGCATACCCCTGAAATACCTTTCCCCTTACATCTGCCTGTTGCATATTCATAGACCCTCATGCACAGCAAACTTTTCCCCCAAACTAGTTTACATGCTCCAAGAATGGTTTAGCATGGCTCTTCCTTGGATCTGCCTTTTTAGAGCATGCAGATTCCTTGGTTGAGGTTTTAGTCCATTCCTGTTACCTCCAGTTTTTGGGTCTTGGTCCACTCTGCCTTCAGACGGGGAGTGCTGATAGTTGGCAGATCTGTACAGGTGTCTTTATCCTGTGTGCATTGGACGTTATCCCATCCAAGCAGGCAGTTTAACACAAGAAGTTATTTCACTAAGCTTAATTAATGACAGAAAACAAAACTATGTCTTTACAACACAGTTACTTTAACATCACACATATAAAATCTATTATAATATCTGTGAAAAGCCAATATTATAATATGCATCCATAAAAATAAACCTCTTGCTGAATGACAGTAGATGTTGGTCCCACAGCCCAGTCCCAGTACTGGGAATTTTGCTTCCCTTACTGGAAATTCCCCTCCTCGTAAGTTTTCTACCCTCATGTTTTTAAGGTCACTATTGTTATACATATTTATTACAATATTGGCTTTTCGCAGATATTAAAATGGTCGGGGTGTTGGCAGCAGTCCCAGTCAATGGTGGCTGCAGCCCTCCTGCAGTGCCAGGTGTGGTTCTGTTGGAGCAGGGATCCCGGAGAAGGGGGGAGTTTTCCTCTGAAGGTCCAGGGCTGCTGTAGATGGGCCTGGTCTTCCTCTGGGAATCCAGTGGAGAAGACAGTTGCTCCTCTGGGAATGCCGTGGGAAAAGGCTGCTCCTCTGGGAATCCAGTGGGAAAAGGCTGCTTGTGCTGTTCCAAACCTCAGAGTCTATCCAGGTAAGAATGCTTGGCCCCTCCACATGGGTGGAGCATCACCCAATGGCATGATGTCATATTATCAGCCATGCAGGGACACTCAATGGCCCATTAACAGCAGATAATTAATAATTAATGGCCCATCCATTATCAGAGGATATCTGTTGGAGAAAGGATTGGTTGTGGAAGAGATAAACTGCCTATTGAACAGAAGATAACTGCCCCACCTCTGACAGATGGCAAACAGAACACACACTGATCTAGCAATCCAGGTCCTGTCCTCACTGGCTGCTCCCATTCCACAGAGTTCATGGTGTCCAGGGATCCAGGGAGGCTGCAGCTGCCGGTGCTGGGAACAAACGAGACAGGTTTTGGTTTCAGAAAGCTCCAGAATCGATTTATGACCCCTGAAACACAGGGCAAAGGCAGGGCCGTGGGCTTTCTGTAGGGTGTCTCAGGAGTGGAGTAAGGGTTTGGGTCAGGGGAGGAGATGTTAGCAACGCAAGAAGGGTGAGATCAAATTCCTGCCCCTTAGCAACAGGGGCACTCCACACAGAATGTGTCCCCAAGTCCTAAAGTCCCCCTCAAACTCCTGTTTAATGGTGGGACTTTAGACATCTTTGATCAATTTATTTCATTTAACCCTGTTTTGGCTATTTTTAAGGGATGAAGATGAAGCAGAAGAAAATTAAGGTCAAACCAAAAGGAGAAGCAGCCAAGTGTGTTCCAACATGGATCACAGGGAATGTGAGTGACAAGGGCTGTGCCCAAAGTGCCTCCTCCAGTGGGGGATGGAGCTGGAGCAGCACACAAAGCTCTTCCTGCACTTGGGGCACTCACAGGGCTTCCGTTAGTGGTGCCTCCATTGGTGTTTGTTCAAGTGAGAGCTTTGTGAGAAGCTCTTCCCACACTGGGGACACTTGTAGGGCCTTTCTCCAGTGTGGATGCGCCGTTGTCTGACGAGGGTGGAGTTGTCCCTGAACCCCTTCCCACAGTCGGGGCATTGGAAGGGCCTCTCCTCTGTGTGAATCCAATAGTGCTGGAGGAGATGGGAGCTGGCCTGAAACCTCTTCCTGCATTTATCACACTCGTAGGGCCTCTCCCCAGTGTAGACCTTTTGGTGATGGATCAGGTAGGAATGCTGCCTGAAGATCTTTCCACTTTTCCCACACCTGTGCGACCGTTTCCCAGCGTGAATGCTCCGGTGCTGAATCAGGTTGGAACTCTGTCTGAACCTCTTCCCACACTCCCCACACTCATAGGGCCTTTCCCCAGTGTGGGTCCTCTGGTGCCTGATCAGGGTTGAGCTCCGACTGAAGCTCTTCCCACATTCCTCACACTCATGGGGCCTCTCCCCAGTATGGATTTGTCGGTGCATGACAAGATGGGGGTTGTGCCTGAAGCACTGCCTGCAGTCGGGGCAGCAGAAAGGCCTCTCCTCTTGTGCGTGCGCTGGTGCTCAAGGAGACTGGAGCTGCACTTGAATCTCTTCCTGCACTGATCACACTCGTAGGGCCGTTCCCTAGTGTGGATTCTCTTGTGCTTGATCAGGTCGGAGCTCCTCCGGAAGCTCTTCCCACACTCCCCTCATTTCTGGGGCTTCTCCCCATCAAGGAGCTTTCCATGGAGCACAAACTCCGAGCTCTGGCTCCATCTCCGGCCGCCTTCCTGGCCCAGGCTGGCTCTTTCCCCCTCAGATCCCCGCCAGCTGTGTTTGCAGCCCCTCCTCGTGCGGCATCTCTGGGACTTTTCCTCCCCGTTGGCTTCCTGTGCCATGGAGCCGCTCAAAACAGCCTCTGCCACCAGGTTCTGCCGCGGGCATTTGTCCTCCCTGCTCTCCATGCTCAGCTCCTGCTCTGGGGGAGGAAGGACAAGGACAGGATGGGATTTGCCTCCGTGCCACAGGCAAGGGCAAGGAGATCCCCCCAGGGCTGTGCTGCAGCTGGGGCCGTGCTGGGCTGGGAGATGGAGCAGCACAGAGGGGAAAGGGGCACTGACTTCCTCCTCACCTGCCTCAGTGTCCCAGGGCATCTTCCTCTTCCTCACAGCCTCCCTGGGGTTGGGAATGGGAAATCCTTGTTTGGGGAAAACAAAGGAAAAGCACACAGAGTTTCAAGGTCCCTCTGCACCAGTCCATCTCTAGGAGTCACCAGCCATCTGGGCGGCATAAAAACCTCCCAAACACCAAGATTCAGCCCTGAAAAAGCCTTCCAGGAGTTGCCCGTCCCTGGTCCCTCCCGTCTGGTGTTCGGGGGTTCCCCCCTGTCCCATCTGCTGGGGTCACACTTGGATTGGGGGTTCCCCTTCTCCTCGGTGCCCGCCCTGCCCAGGCTGCTGGCAGTCCCAGCAATGCCAAAAGCTCCCCCCTCTTGGCTCTCCCCATTTTGGGATGCCAGGGCTGTTTGGGCTCCCGGGCTCCCTTCTCCCCTCATTCTCTGCTC